TAATTTAGACTTTTATACCCATAAATTTCTCTCTGATCACTGCTTTTGCTACATCCATGAATTTTGGTATCTTCATTTTCACTCATCTCAAAGTAATTCCTAATTGTCCTTTTGATTTCTTCTAAGACCCATTGGTTATATAGGAGGGTATTATTTAATTATTTAATTTCTACAAATTTGGGAATTTCCAAATTTTCTTTCTGTCATTGATTTCTAATTTCATTCCATTGTGGTTGAAAGTCATATGCTGTATTATTTCTATTCTGACTATTTCTAGAACTAACTATTAATTAAAGTAGTATACTATGGTCTAGTTTATCCAGAGTGAATCTAGTCCAATAGGTAAAGAGCTAAGAGGAGGTCTGTATATTTAATCCTGTTCCTTTGGTCGCTCCAAAGATGTGGGCGTTGCCAATAATCTCACTGTTCTAGTGATGGCCCTTATGGGTGGACTTACCCTTGCCTAGCCATGGACTTGGAAGTCTGAGCAAAGTTCATGAAAAGAATGGCTTCTGGTGAGAAGCCTGGTGTCTTTTATTCTTCTGATTAGTAGAAAAAATTATAATTGCTCTAGGTACATTTTGTATTTTCACTGTGCTTTTCTTTTTCCCTACAGTACTCTTTCCATTCCTTATCCCAGTTTTTGAAGCATTAAATATCTTTGTGTTTCCAAAACCTCTTACTGATTTTTTCACAAAATCCATAAAAAAGATAAAAGAAAGTCGCCTCAATGATAAACGAAAGGTAAAATCTGGTGGTGGTTACATGGGTGTGTTCAGTTTTTGATAATTTATTGAGCTGTATACATATAATTTATGCACTTATCTGTTTTCTTAATGTAGGTAGAGAACTCTAGGGTTTAGAGCAAGAGAGTTATAAGATTTTGTAGGGAATGAAGAAGATGGAGGTTTGGAAAGAAAATAAAAAATGAGTCAGAGAGACAATGTTTAAAACAAAATAATAGGCAAAATGATTATTATGTCATTGCATGAATATAGTTGAGATAAAATGTGTACCACTTCACTTCAATAAATTGTCAAAGTTTAAAAATTACTGTTTAAAATTATTTTCCTTACATTATAATTTGTCCAGATTACATTGGCAAAGATCACTTTAATTCCAAGACTCCTATTTTAAATGTTCTGCAATGGAATGTCCTATGACACACCTGGTGGAGTATAGTTTATGTTAATTTGAAGCCCAGTCAGAGACTGGAGAACACAGGAGTCTTCTCTGGGCATTGAGGCTGCAAGCTAGCTAATCCAGATTTGCCTTCCTGAGGCCTGGAGGCCAGCACAAGAATGTCTGCAGGTTAGGGGGACAAGGCAGAATGTCATTGAAGATTATTCAGAGTTCTGGGAGGGTGGGCTCATGGAAAACCTGCCAATGAACTCTGCAAATGTCAGGGGATTCAGATGTATGTCCACTGGCTAAGAATTAAGGCATGAAAATAAAAAGGACTGAAGTCTGGGACTACTTCCTGAGCAAACAGGCATGATAAGGGAGGGAGCAGGCAAGTCTTGAGCCAAAAAGCTGTGTTTAAAACCAGAGAAGCTGAAGATCATAGACAGGGAAGACCAAAAAGCAGTTGGACATGATGGCTGGATTTCCCTCAGGAAAACATCCTGCTCTCTAACATTTGTAAATGGATGTTTTCGCTCACTGCTGACTCAAGCAGCACTAGTTAAACTTCTGGACCTAAACAGGCCATACTCTCAGGGAAGAGATTAAGTGCTGCACTCCTGATTTATTTCTGANGGCCATCTTTATATCTTCTTTAGATAAATGTCTATTCAAATCCTTTGCCCATTTTAGTTGGAGTTCTAGGAGTTCATTATATATTCTAGGAAAAAAATGTTTTATCAGGTATAAGATTTGAGAATTTTTCTCCCTGTAGGTATCTTTTCTCTTTCTCAATAGTGTTCTTTGAAGCACAAAAATTTTAACTTTATAATGTACAATTTTCCCTTATTGCCTGAGCTTTTGGTGTCATGTCTAAGATCCATTGCCAAATATGTCATTAATATTTACCCCTTGGCTTATTCTAAGAGTATATAGTTTTAGCTTTTATGGTTAATTCATTGATCCATTCGATTCTGTGTTTGTATATGATGGTGTGAAGTAGGAGTCCAAAATCATTCTTTTGCATGTGGTTATCCAGGTGTCCCAGTACCATTTTTTTTTGAAAAGTCTATTTTCCCCCATTGAATGGTCTTAGAACCATTTTCAAAATTCAGTTGACCTTAAACTGAATAGACACTTCTCCAAACAGGACATACACATAGCTATTAAACATGTGAAAAGATGCTCAGCATCACTAACCATCAGAGAAATGCAAATTAAAACCACAATGAGATATCACCTCACACCTGTCAGAATATCATCAATAAATCAACAAACAACAAGTGTTGGTGAGGATGTAGAGAAAAGAAACCCTTGTGCACTGTTGGCGAAATTGGTGCAGCCACTATGGAAAACAGTATGGGGGTTCCTCACAAAATTTTTTAAAAACTACCATATGACCCAGCAATTACACTTCTGGTTATTTATTCGAAGAAATCCAAAACATAAATTCGAAAAGATATATGCATCTCTATGTTCATTGAAACATGATATACAATAGCCAAGATATGGAAGCAACCTAAGCATCCATCAATGGACTACTGGATAAAGAAGATGTTGTACATATATACAATGGAATGTTATTTGGCTATAAAAATTAATGAAATCTTAGTATTTGTGACAACATTGGTGGACCTAGACAGTATTATGCTAAGTGAAATAAGTCAGACAGAGAAAGACAGGTACCATATGATGCCACTTATATGTGAAATCTAACAAACAAAATAAACCATCAAATAGAAACAAACTAATAGATACAGAGAATAAATTGATGGTTGCCAGATAGAAAGCGTGCTGGGGGAATGGGAGAAAAAGTAGAAAGGGATTAANATCTCTTGAGAGTTTAGATTGTGATTCAATCATTCTAGTGTGAGGTTTGAGATTCTGCATTTCTAATAACCTCCCAGATGCAGCTGATGCTGCTGGTCCATGGACAATGCTTTGAGTAACAAGTATCTGTAGCCCAACTGTTCTTTTGAGTTTCTGCAAACATGTTTAAATAAAAGATCCTTTAATTTTTCCTCGCATAAGCCTTAGTATTGCAAACTATCTCAAAATTCTTCCAAGTGTGTTTTATCTAAAATAGTTTAAATTTTTCCTGAGGGAGAATGCTACCCCATATTACTTGTAGCTAAACTACTTTTAGGGTTCTCCAAAGGACATACTGATCACACTGTGTTATGTTACACATAAATGCTATTTCTGATATTACACATCTGTTTGAGTGGTAAGAGTTACATAACCAGGAGTAGATGGCCAAGAATAGTATAGCCTTGGGAAAAGCTGGATTAAGACAATTTTTGGCTTTTTCTGGCTCTGTAAGGTGCACATCAGCGTGCAAACCACTCCCAGTTTGACTCTGAATTGCTTTTCAAATTTTTCCCTAAGCTTTGGGAGTTTCATTTAGATTTTTCATCATCGAAATTGTGATAATGTACATTGACCTACTTTATGTAAAATGTCTTTGCTCTCTTTTTAGCTTTGTCTGATCTGGAGCTCGTGGCTCAATCTATTGTCTTTATTTTTGCTGGCTATGAGACCACTAGCACTTCTCTTTCCTTCCTTATGTATATTTTGGCCACTCACCCTGATGTGCAGCAGAAACTACAGGAGGAGATTGATACAACTTTCCCGAATAAGGTGAGTAGGTGATACCTGAAGAGGGAGGGAGAAAGTGAAGCCTTAGCAGGAATGCCTCCTCACCACTTCCTAGGAGAATTTTTGCAAAGAGCATGCAAGGTCTGACAGTTAAGTTCACGAACTTGTTGCAACAATGTTGCTAATTTTTTCAATATATCAGAAAGGTTATTCATTATTAATTTGTACCAACTGGACAAACAGTTAACCAAGCTTAATATTTGGAGGTGCTGAAAAGGCTGTGTGAAAAAAGTTAGACAACCTGAACTTTTCACCAACAATTCATGGCTTTTGCATCATGACAATGCACCAGCTCACATGACACTATCTGTGAGGAAGGTTTTATCCAGTAAAGAAATAACTGTATTGGAACACCCTCCCTACTCACCTGATCTGTCCCCCAATGAGTTATTTCTTTACCTAAAAATAAAGGAAATATTGAAAAAAAGATATTTTGATGACATTCAGAACATCAAGGGTAACATGATAACAGCTCTATGACCGTTCCAGAAAAAGAGTTCCAAAATTTCTTTGAAGGATGGACTAGACGCTGGAATCGGTGCATAGCTTCCCAAGTGGANTATATATATATATTAAACTATAGTTGACATTCAATATTATTCAGCTTCAGCTTCAGGTGTACAATGCAGAGGTCAGGCATTTACACTGTCCATGAAGTGTTCTCCCTAATAAGAAAAGTGCCCATCTGACTCTTCTTTCTTTCTTTACCTTTTATTTGTCTATCTATCTATCTATCTATCTATCATCTATCTATCTATCGTCTATCTGGTCCAACCTTCTAGAATGAAGGAAATATTCTATGTCTATACTGTTCATTACAGTAACCACTAGGCACATGTATGTTGAGCACTTGACATGTATAACAAAACTAAATCAAATTGTATTATTTTAATTAATTAAAAATTAAATTTAAATTGTCACATGTGGCTGGTGGCTACCATATTGGACAACACAGCTCTAAACTTTGAATATCATGGGGCAAATGCTAACTGGGGGTAAAAAAAATTGTAGTTGAATTTACCGCCAACAGCATCATTTTTTACCGTCATTGGAAAATCAAAACTCTGTAGGCCTTTCTTACACTCATTTTGTATTGTCTTTACTTGTGAATTACATGGTTGGGGTGGATACCATGTTTATTTCACAGCTCTGAGTATCTAAAAGTTCTAATCCAGTCCCAATCAAGTAAATTAGAACATGCTTTGTTTCTTTCAGGAGAAAATTAAAAAGGAGGCCAATTTGATCACAAGAGCTAACTGCTGAGCATACAGTAGAGGAAAGATAGGGTGCATGTGCTGAGAAAGACGACATTCAGACTATGAGTGAATAAGCACTGACAATTCCACTCAATGCCTATTTTCCTATATTTCATGCTAGTCAGTGTCCTTCTATTGACACATTCTTCTGCTATTTTTTTATATTAAAAATGGAATGTTTATAGAATACAAGGGCAATGAACTATGGATCCTAATTGGCACACACATATATTTCATTGTTCTATCAGCTGACAGGGCCTAGAAACAACAACACCTCAGTATCAAAAGCACATCTAGCACATCTAGCACCCAGATATTGGCTCCTTAATACCATTAAATAATAATAAAAAAACAGGGCTCCTTAGAGGAATGGTTGACTCAGATATTGGAACAGGGAAAATACAAAATTATCCTGGAGTATTTAATAGTGCCATAAAGTGATACGTACTTAAAAACAATAATCCCACAATGATGGGGATGTGTAGAAGGGACATAGAAGTCAACTAAAGAGCTTCCAATGGCCAAAGATGAAACACTTTGAACAAAATAAAGTATTATTGGATTATTTCCCAAACTATAAAATATATATTCATGAGCTCATAGTGGTATAAATAAATTGAATAAATGGGGAAGATCAATTTCTTTCTGAAAAATTCCAAGTAACTTATGTAGACATTCCACCTTTAAGAAGAGCACAACTCCCCTCGCCTTAAGGGTGGGCTGCACACAGTGACTTCATTACAAAGTGTACAGTATAGGGTGGAGGGGAGTAACTTTACAGTTAAGAAATCTGGCAAAGAAGACCCCAGCCAGGTGACAAACTGTAACATCAACAGTAACAAATCATGTTGTTAGCATGTACTCATAATATGTGATTGGAATGGCACTTTACCTCTGTGGTCTTCCTCTCAAAATTCTTTAAGCCAAACTAATCATGAGAAAAACTCAATCCTAATTGAGGGACCTCTTACAAA